GCTGCACGCATACGTGTATACGCTGTGGAAGCTGGAAATCCAATGTCTGAATTCTTCATGTTTCCAGGAACTAAAAAAGAACTCTCTGTTGCCACTCCAAAATGAAAGCCGACTTAGGAAAGATTCCTAAGTACCAGCAATTACAACAAACAGATGTATTTTTACTTCTCGTATGATATGAAGATTAGTTGGAAAATACAAGTACACAGAGGATCAGGATACGATCTTTGCAGGAATCTGTCATTTGCATCTATTATTTTTTCTACCAGAAATAGGAAGCTGGAGAAACGGCTGTGTGCCTGTGGAAATGCTATCTTCCTGTGGTCTTTAGTTATGGCAGACCCACTCTCCTCGTGTGCAAGGGGAGGGTTCAAACCGACATTGCTAATCACACAGAAGTGGACTTGTAGAGGCTGAGCCTCCAAAACCACATTAAAATGGATCACCGAGAGGCAAGTGTCACTGTATGTAGCTAGTACGGTCAAGACGATAAAGGCAAGATAACCAAAAGCTGTGCACCATCAAGTCAAGGAAGGACTGTGTGCTACTCGTTTTATATCCCGATTTTGAGCCCAGAACCCAGAGCCATGAAGTCTAGCACAGAGCAGGCATGAGCTTCCCTGTCTTTATTGAGGATCCTGGTTTCAAGCATTACCCTTTACGTTTCACAGAATTTACTTATTTAAAAGCAAAATTTAAGCTTGAACCCCCAAAGTTAAAAATATTACTTTTTGCCAAGTTAAAAGGCTTATTATATGCACCCATTATATGGCCAGCTCTCTCTAAAGGATGAGAACTGTTTTCTGTTTGGGACTGCTTGATGGCCTCTGAGCCTCGGTTTCCCTAACTGTAAAATTTGGGTTAGTGGGTATCCAAGGTTCACTTAAATGGTATTATTCTAGGATTGCACAATACAATGCACTCTCACAAGGCAAAATTGCTGTTTAACTGAGTATTGAAAGATTTCCAAGTTGATCTCTGTTAAAACTTGTAAAATGTGTTCCAAGTTCACAAGAGGATGCCAGACAATAAACGGGCACTCCACATCAACTATCTGCACAGTGAGCTGCACTTCTGACATGTTCAAGGTGCTCTGTCTTCTCACAGTCAGCCCAAAGGTCCACAGGGCCAATAAGGATAAACTCAATTAGCCAGGTTTCGCAAAACTTGTATTTTTTTAAGTTGGTTTATTTATTTATTTTGAGAGAGAGAGAGCATGCATGCATGCATGCATATGAACAGGGGAGGAGCAGAGAAAGAAGTGGGGGGTGAGAAAATCCCAAGCGGGCTCCACACTTGGCATAGAGACTGATATGGAGCTTGATCCCACGACCATGAGATCACAACCTGAGCCAGAACCAAGAATAGGATGCCCAACTGACTGAGCCACCCAGGCGTCCCAAATTTGTATGTTTTAAGTGGATTCAAAGGTCATTCTACTACTCCAAGATACATACCCAAGAAACATGAAAAAATATGTCCATATAAAAACATGTACCTGAATGGCCATAGTAGGATTATTCATAACACCCAAGACATGCAAAGAATCCAAATTTCTAACTGATGAATGGATAAGCAAAATGTGGTTTATCCCTACAATGGAAGAGTATTAGTCATAAAAAGGAATGAAGTTCTGATTCATGCTACAACATGGATGGACCTCAACTGGAAACATTATACTAAGTAAAAGTCACGAAGGACCCCATATTATGTGATTCATCTTATACGAAATGTCCAGAATAGACAGAAAGTAGATCAGTGGTTTCCAGGGGCTGCCAATGGCAGGGAAAATGGGGGTTTGAGGAAAAATGGGGAGTGACCTGCTTAAGGGTACGGGGTTCTGTGGGGGTAAAGTGCTGTGACGCTGATTATGAAGATGCTTGCACAACCTTGTGAATATACTAAAACCCACCAAATTGAATAAAGACTTCAAATGCATAAATTGTATGGGATGTGAATTACGTCTCAATAAAACTATTAGCAAATAAAAAAAGAAAGTCATTCCCATAGGCTCAGCCATCCTGGAGGTGCCTCCTAGAGCTACCTCAGTAGACAGCACAACAGCAGATTCTAACATCTTGGTACCAAGCTTCAAAGATGAGGTCTAGTGCCGCCTGGATGGCTCAGTCAATTAAGCGTTTGACTCTTGATTTCGGCTCAGGTCATGATCTCACGGCTCATGAGATTGAGCCTTGCGTCGGGCTCTGTGCTGATAACATGGAGCCTGCTTGAGATTCTTTCTCCGTCTCTCCCTTCCCCGCCCCCCTCAAAATCAATCAATCAATCAATCTATCTATCAAAGATGAGGTCCAACAGACTCCGCCAACTGAATCAGAATTCGCCTGGTCATCTTTCCTTGGGCAACTCCAACTGCTCTCTTAGTTCTGAGGACCCAATATGCCACGCTTCCCCAAATCGAGGGGCCTTCCCAGTCAGGGAAAAAAACTAAACTCAAGGATAGCAGAGTACTAGATGAAATAGTAATTCTACCAAAGGCAACGTTCAAGAGTTTTGAGATTAAGATTTGAGGCTGTGCAAGCAACAGCAGGATTTGTTTCTGCTCTCATGATAAAAGACACAGCTCCTGGTGATACTGCAGGAACGTGCTGGTTCAGAAGTGGTAGAGATAGCTGATACTTTCCAGGAATGTCATAGGAAGTTCCAGCCATCTATAACGGCAGTTGAATGGGGGACCATTTTTGCATCTCGGCAACTACCTCTGGAGGGGTCCTCAAGACTCATCAGGAAAGTACTAGTTCCTATTGTCTCCAAGGGCATGTTCACGTGAAGGTTTCCAAGCTATAACAAGGGTGGTGTCCAGGGTGCTGAACTCAGAGCAGGCGTTAAGTTCTGAGCGGCAGCATAGGTGTGCAGTGGACTTAGGGCTGAGACTGTGTGCCCTGGAGGCAAGAGACACAGCAGCCAGTTGAGGTCCAGGTGAGTAACTCCTAGTCAGTTGGGTGGGCTTCTAAAAACCAGGGAGAAGCAAGTAAGAGAGCAGAGAGAATCTGGGAGCAGCCAAGTGTCCTGTTCTAAATCCTACGTGCATAACTCC